TTATCCACCTGCGCCGGGGTCTTTGTGGCTCTTTGGGAATCACGGTGACACAGGCAGCAGCATCCSTTGGGCTGTCAGGGTCAGGGACAAACCAGGCAGAATGGGTGCTGGGAGAGGGGGAATGGAGCMGCCAGAGACACCCCTGCCCAGATGGCCCCACTGGCACCGGGGAACTCCCAAATCTCCCTGCGAGTGACCAGGGTGCGTCTGGGTGGGTGGCTCGGTCCCCTGTGGCCAGCAGGTCCCAGCAAAGGGGATGCAATCGGGTGTAAATCAGGCACCCATGTGACAACACTGGTTCCACTGGGAGAACATCCCTGCAGCAACAACCTTTCCCATTGCTGGCAAAGCGCTCGGTGACGGGACTGGGATCTCCCTGCAGTAGGATGTCCCGCCAGGCWTCCTGGCACTGCCATCGGCCACATGCGTGATGCCAAGGGCTCTCCCAACTGGCATCGCACCGCACCACCAGCTCCATCACGTCCCGGTAACTTGTGGTGCCGCTGGAACMGCGTGGCACGGAGCGAGTGGGTCCCCAGCCCCGGGGACAGGGACAGGGGGAGGGCAGGATGGGGAGCTCTTAGCGCCAGCGAGCGGGAAGGAGACAGAGGGCAGAAGGCAGCGAGGGGAAGGATGAATGAAAGCGGAGATGGAAAAAGACCCCGAGTTACGGCTAAGGCCGGGAGCGCTCCGGAGATGTGATGCAAGGTGAAGTGCTCACAATACGGAGCGTAAGTCTGTGCTCAGCGTCGCGCTGGTAGTCAGACCCGGATGAGCTAATGCTCCCCGCCGGCACCAAAATCCCTCTGTTAGCACCAAGTGCTGCTCCTCCCGATGCGCACAGGGAAGGATCCRCAGCTTCCGGCCCGGAGCGGGGACGGATCCTGCTCCCCAGCTCCTTGGTGCCCCCAAGGAGCAGCTTGGAGGCACTTGGGGAGAGCCAGGAGATCTGTTAATCCACTGGCTGGCTGGGMATGCGCTTGGATGGACAGACAGACACAGATGCTGGGACTTCATGCCTTCCCAAGTCTGAGCGAGGTGRCAAAATGCCACCAAATTACCCAAAACATGGCCTAATTGGCACATCTATTTCCGAACCAGTTACACATTCCCTTCTGAGCACCAGTCACTTCAAAAACACATTAAGGAGATATATTTGAAAGCTAAAATATATTAAACAAGCAYTCCATCCTCATCAGCACGGAGGTTATGGCCCTGTGCTGGTCTCCTTCCAACAACCTTGTGCACGAGGCTCTGCGTGGCCACCACCAGCTCTCAAAAAGCCATTAAAAACAGTAAAAACAGTAAAAACAGCCCCACATGTCCACTCAGGGGCCAGGAGGTCACCATCACTGCCAGGCACCAAAGAACACTCACCTGCAGCAGCCACCTGCAAACATGCAAGACCTATTGCAAAGAAAAGCAGGCAAATCCCTTTTATTTCTATTCCCTGAGTCTTTGCTGGGTGGGGAATCACAGAGAAGGCAAATTGCAGCCATGAGAAATGGGAATTTAATATTAAAAAGAAAAAGAAAGGGCAATTAGGGCACAGCCAAGTGCAGAGGCAGAGAAGAACAGATAAGGAAGGAAAGATGCTCTTAAAAGATGCTCTTAAAAGATGTTCTTAAAAGATGCTCACCAGGGCGAGTGCCACTGCAGGTGTCACTTGGGCAGCCGATCCCAACCTGCACCGGCAAAGCAAGATGTGACGCTCGCCTTCCCGATGGAGACGAGCCACCCATGCAATGAGTTTGCCAGCCTCTTGCCCAGCCGGAGCGCGGCCCCCCGCGCCCGCCTGCCTCGTATTTTTAATCTCGCTTCCCGCCGAGCCAGCCCACACACATCTGTCCCTGGGAAGCACATGCTCCGCGCGGCCGCGCGCTTCCATATATATCCATATATAACACAGTGTGTCACGGAGCAGCCTGCGCGCCCATCCGCATGCGGGGGCCAGCCCCCGCTCCGGACATGCAGGTAGCACCTGGCAAAGCAAGGAAGGGCGAGGGGGACAACGGGGCCACATATGTTCTCCCATCCATCCCCTCCTRACGTCCCACGCGCAAGGTGCCAGCTGACCTGCAGGAATTTGCTGCCTTCATCCTGGAGAAATGCTCCCTCCTTTGGGAATGTGGGAAAAGGAGCTGGGGGAGCCACAGAAAACACTCAGGAAAGGGGAAACCTTTGCAGAACCCCAAYAAATTGCCCAGGCTGTGCTGTGTAWGGATGAAAAGGGTGGAGATGCCATGTGGTGGATGGCGAGGACTCGGGAACAGCTGAATAATGCATGGCCTGGCAGGTGTGCGGCAGCAGAGCCAGCGCCGGCAGGTAGATTTTATTGTCTCAGAAAGGGACCCTCTGCCACCGGCGGCTCCTTTCCCAGCTGCGGCGTGCAAGGAAGCCAGCAGGCCACCCCAGAGCCTGTCTATGACTAGTTTCCATCGGGAATGACTCTGGAAAACTCCTGTTATGGAGCTAGCTCTGGGCACAGGTCCTGCCGATGCCACAGTGATGCCCAATGGCCCTTGGCCCAAAGCGGAGGGCGCTCCAGAATATTGGGGCTGCAATCCCTGAGGAGCCGCCGGAGCTGGGGCCGCGGCGCTGCCGGAGCGCACGTGCCCGCGGGGTCTGGCTTTGCTGCTGCTTCCCGCTGGGCATCGGGAGCAGGAAGAGTCTCCATGGCAACAGCGGGCAGATGTGACCGTTCCTCGGCATTCCCGTCTACCGCGAGAACGTCTCCAGAGGGCACCGGGGATGGGCACTGCCTTCCCCGCCAGCACCACCGGGATCACAACGGGGGAGACCGGATTGCCTGAATTTTGCAGCAGGCAACCTGGGCAAGGTAGTGCACAAGCACAGGGATGTGCTACCCACCATCGTGGTCCAACCCCGCCCTCCTTCCCTCCGTAAATTTGGACCTACAAGGTCCTTTTCCTCCCTCCTTACACCTGCTCAGGGCTAGTGGCTCGGGAAGCGCTCCGGCATTCCCAACAGGACACAGCTCCTCTCCCAATCYGCGGGGAGAACCAGCAGGCGCTTTCCCAGCTCCCTTCCTCCCACAGCACTAAGAGGATTTGCTGGGAGAAGGAGCAGCCCTGCAGCCTGTCGAGATGACCGACATTCCCCTCGGCTGGACCYGAGGTCCCAGACGAACCCGGAGCTGAGATCCCCCTGGAGCAGCGCCGGGAAGGGGCCCAGATTGGCGGCGAGGAGGCAGCGCGGCGAGGCTGAGTCACGGCTCGCACCTTGCTCGCGAGCAAATGCCGTGTGCGAGCTCAGCTGCGGAGCGGAGCCGCCTGCCGCAGCCAGGAGGCCGGGAGCCAGGCGGGCCGGGCACGCGGAGGAGGCACCGGAGGTGGCTCCGCGGCGCCGCTCCAGCCCGTGGGATGCAGCCACCACGAGGCCGTTGGGGACGGGGAGCACTTGGCCCTGCTGCTCCTCCTGGCCCCCCAAGCAAAGTGTGTGGCGGAAAGGATGCAGAGCAGAGGCTTTTCCTTTCTTTTTCAGGGATAGCAGAGGTTTTCCTAAGGTTTTTCCAAGCCCTCGTGCTCACGAGGCTGGAATTTCTCTGCTCTGCATTAGAGGGTCACTGAGCTCCCCGCTGCCTCCTGCCCAGCRGAGCATTTGCCCTGGGTGGGAGGAAGCAGAGGAAGAGCCTGTGACTCACGCGCTGCACATGGCGCCTATGCTGGAAAAGCGCTCAAGTTGGGAATGTCAAAAAGAGCAAGTTTGCAGGCTATTTTTGCAGCGAGAGGAACTAGAAATCTGGGTCAGGAAGGATAGGATACGTTGGTGGCATGCGAGATCAGCCGGCTCTTCTCCCAGCTCAGGGAAGAGTCCGTGATCCCAGCGATCYGTCTGCAGAGCACTGCTTCCCAGAGACATCCCAAAAACCTGAGGTCTGGGGGCCAGTTCCAGCAGCACTCGGACCTACCGAGCGTGTTTGCCAGGAAGAACCAACGCTACTTCCCTGCGCGAGCTGCATTTGGCTCCGGGGACGCAGCGAGGTCACTCTCGATGGCCATGGCCATGGTCTGGCCGAAACGCGCTTCCCGCGCCTTGGGCCGACACGCTCTGTGCTAATCTGGAGCGAACAGGAGCACGGCAGGAGGGTTTCTGGCTTCCCACTGACTCACTGCTCAGGACTTGGCAGCCCAAGTGCTGTTGATTCTCTCTCCTGCTATAGAGAAGCAGGATTTTGGCACAGCTTTCCAGAAAACTTGGGTTCCTCCCAGTACAAGTCAGGAAAACTTTTCAAAAGTCGACAATTCACAGGATGGAGAAAAGTCTTTTCCTGAAAAGCTGGAGGCAGCTGACTGTCTCCCTCCTCCTCCCCGCTAGGAAGGCAGCGTCTTCCTGCAGCCGTGAGAAACCAGCTCTGCTTGATCCTGGAAAAGCCCCTCCTGCCTTGTTCTGTCCCCTTCTTTCAGGTGCAGAGAATCCCCCTGAAACTACAAGAGGACGTGCAGGAAAAGCCGGCTRCATTACCCCTTTTCCAAAGGAGAATCAGCCTGGTGGCCCTGGGGAAGCCAATCCCACCATCTCCTTCCTGCTGCATCCAAGGATCAGACTGCAAAGTCACATCTGCAGCTCAGGAACACCCGGTCCCCACGATGGTGGCTGGCAAGACCACATCCATGGTTCCAACAGGGAGCGGAGCCGCTGGGAACCA